GATTGGATTTTTTCTGTTTAGGAAATAATTTACCAAAATGGGCTAGTTAAACCCTTATGGCATGTTTTTCTTTATTAAATTTTAATTTGTTTATTTAACTACAAAGATCCAAATATTGCTACTAAAATAAGATATTATAAGAACGATGAAGGTTTAAATCTTTGGAAAATCATTACTTCATCAGTGAATAAAGATATAAGTTTTGAAATTAATGAAAATTTAAATATCTTTTATCCACCACGTGGCCGTATTTTGAACTATAGTTTGGAGAAGGCGTTGAAAACACATATTTATTTCCGTACAAAACTTCTCACGACTGATCTTTCAACACTAATATATGATTATGTCGAACCACCAAAAATTAGACCAAATAGTAAATTATTTGATGGTCTGTATGAATTAAATGGAGAAGGAGTCAAAAATTTTTTTCCTTACGATAAAGGTAGTTTGGATGGAAAATGGGCAGGATATTATGTTTATAAAAGATTTATTCATGATGATGATCTTGTTGAGGAAGAGATGGATAGAGTTAATTACGATGGATCGATGAAAATGAATTTAAATTTTACTGAAGTTAAAAATGAAATAATTCATAAACAGGAACAAGAACAAATAATTGTAATTCATTTCAATGGTCGTGGTACTGATTATATCGGAGAATTTATTATTTATGATGGAAAAATCACATCGAGAGCAAAATTGAGCTTTCACAAAAAATATATCAATACAAATCAAAATCCATGGATATATGATGGAGTATTAACACAAATAGGAATGTTAGGTGATTGGGGAGAACATAATTATGTGGGTGGTAAGTTTTGGATATGGAAATCTTAGTTGATAACAATATATTTGTTGCGATAGTAGATCTGTTCAATTTTGTGCAAAAAAGAATTAATTAACAAACTCAACATCTCAATGCCACTCACTGGCTGGAAGAGGTTTGCAAAACAAAGTTGTCAAAATTGAACAGGCCTAATATCGGGTGTGATTTTATTTTATTAGTGTAATTTTGGTAATATATGTATTTTAAGTTATAATTTTATTTATAAACTTATTTATTTTTTAAATAAAACACAGTAAAATAACTTGTTGAACATATATCTAATTATTTTGCACAAATTCCCTGATCAGAAGAGGATTCCCATTGTATCTGTAGTATTATGTATAAATGACACCGCGTAAAATTTTTTCGCCGGCTAATGAGCTAACTAATCATGAAACATTTTGAATTTAATGTCATTTTATCAATCATTATTATCAATATCACCAGAAATATGGGAACTTGTGTTTAAAATTTGTTACTTAATTATTGTAATAAACCAATAAAATAATTGACTCGTGAAATATCTCAAACCATATCAGCTGATTTGGTTTTTTGGGCCTTTTTTCAAACCTTATGTTTTATTGTGTCTCGATGTTAAACACGAGTATTTTCAATGTGTAAACTGGTCGGTAGAATGATAATTACCCTAAAACAAATTATTTTCTCCGCTAAAAAAACTAATTACTATCCATCAACCCGTCAAACCAATGGCCCAACCTCAAAACCAATGGGTTTTGCTAGTATAAAGTATTCATAACGTTATGATCATACCGTACTGGATTTTGGGGTTCAAACAAAATCAGCGCATATGCAACAGAGAAGTAAATATTCCAACATTCTAAAATGTAGCAGGCCTTTAATTCTCAGATTTAATTTAATTTAAATCATTTGATCACTTTAGAAATAATTTGAAAATAATTCTACACAGAAGGTTTAAGGAATACATTTAATTAGAATAAATTTAGATTTCAAAGAAATTGGAGAACTACGCTCATCTACCATAAATGGGGTATGCTGCAACAAAAACTACCAAAAATTTTAGGGATCAAAATTTAGCAATGTGATCATCATTATTATTATTTTTTTATATTATTATTATTATTATTTTGTAAAAAAAAATTAAGTCCAAAAATTGAAATTGTGTATATACATTACCAATCCTAGAACTTATAAAACAGTAGTTCAACTTCATATTAAGATTATCGCTTAGCGGTATTTGTTTACCCTCGCAAAAAATATGTCAGAATAAAGGCTTCATATATTTTTATTTTTTATTATTCGATCAAAAAATTTATGATACCATAAAGTCTGGAAAGATAGCATCCCCCGAAAGATAGCACCTCTACTTTAAAACAATTGAGCGTCAATATAAAAAAATTGTTACACATATGTAAAAAGAGATGCTATCTTTCCAGACTTTACGGCAATGATAAACGCGATTTTATAATTAACGCGTTTCCTTCAGTCACAGGACATTTCCCGCCGATCTATAGGAGGTTTGTAAAACAGTAAAATTTGGATGATCTGCATCATACTAAATTTTATAATCGAATGTCTTCACACCCTCATTTGATACCCTTGCTGTGTAGCAACCACCACCAAATTTGAGATATAATTTCTTTATCATATGTATCTACTTTATGAA